GCCTCAATTTACTTATGCAAGGATCAATTGTGTACTCAAAGATTCAAATTGTGACAAACCATCACCAAAGATTCTCATGCTCGCAATACTTGCTACTTGTGCAAGTTCATGCTTAAAAAAAATATCTAAATGCCCTCGCACAAATAATGATTCCATATTCACACACATATATGAGTCAATTTAACATCAGGAATCAGATACAACGCTCACACTAAAAAAAAGGAACATAATGCATGTTTTCAGCCATAGGTTTGCCCTTATTTTCCAATTGACTTTTGATCCAGCTTACTCAAGATCAAAAAGGTCTTTCTAAGGCTTGTAACGGGGCTGAGTGCAAAGGTATGGTCATTTAGGGTTAGTGACTTTTTCCTCGTGAGTTGTGGCATTCTCAAGGAATTTCCTTTTTTTCCTTTATCAATTCTTTTTCTACTGCTTCTAAATCACCCTTTTTTGTTTTATTCTCCTCCATGGATTGTTTGAAACCCGATTCCCTTCGTACTTTCTTCCACATTTCATATATAAATATATATATATTTTTTTGAATTGAATTGAAGGGGTTCCATTTTTATGCAATACCATGGGTTAAGGGGGACTTTTCTTGCACTTCTTGACTTCTCCTTTTCCCTTTCACCACACCCCCAAGTTAGGCTTTTGGCCTAACTTGGCTGTTCACTAAACCACAAATCAATAGGATTATAGGTAGCAGATCAAATAAGGTCTAGGGTATATCAAGGTTCTTTCAAAGAAGGGTAAGGCTAAAAGGTGTTCAAAAGAGTTTCACACGCTCACAGGTAGGTCACAAAAAGAGGTATATGTCAAATTGGCTCACACTCTTTAAAATTGCGTAAGATCATCTCAAGAGTACACCTTTCTAAATTAATCATAATAATTGATCAAATTCTAGGTTTATTCATGCATGGTTCAAAGTAAGCTAATCACTCAAGGTATCGATACTTCAGTCAAACAAGACTAGACACGTTTGCTAGCGTGCAACAATCCTCACAAGAAAATCAATTCGATAAATGTCTAGTCACAACGAGATGCAAAGAGTGCACATATTGTCTATGTAACTTCATTTGGTCTCGTTGTAGCCGTGCATTCATGTTTGTTCAATTGCACTATTCAAGTCATCGATATTGATCGAAACCGAGACTCAAATTTTTTGCAAAAGAATAGTCACTTTTAACAGAAGAGGTGGCAACAGTTTTTTGGAAGGATCAAAATTGTTTTTAATTAGAACAACATTAGCCATGAGCTCAAACATCCACAAAAAAGCAGTAATTTAAAACACAATTTAGAGCAAACCAAAATACCCAATTTCATGCGCAAAACAGCAAAGTATTCACACAAACAAAAACAAAAGGGTGAGCCTCACCCCACCCAATGAAAAAGCGTTTGTCCTCAAATGCAGGTAAACAAAAATATACCACAAGTAAGATAGGAAGAGACAACGCGAGAGAGGTAAAGAAAGGTCCTGTCTATTTAGTCGCTTTATTTGTCAGGGCCTGAATATGGGCATCCATTCCTGGTATCTCTATCTGGTCGCGTGTCTCAGTCTCAGGAGTAGGCTCAGACATACTAGCAATGCCAGATCCACTGGGAGCTGCTGTGGGCGGCTCAACTGGCACTATTTGAGTTGCCGACTACACAACCATCTCCATGAGATTCGAAAAGTCTCTGAATATGATGTTCTCTTGGCTCTCGCGCAACACCTTATCGTGCACTGCTACCTATTCTTTGTCGGTCTCTGTCTCCGACTCTGCATTCCCTGCATCATCCTTCTGGACGTCTCCAGGAGTGGTCGGGGGAATCTCAGAGGTTTCAGGGATATCTGTGTCATATATTCCTCGCATCAGTGCTGCGAAGTTAGTGGCCTTCAGATAGGCTACATCCTTCTTCAGCTCGGCTATTTAAGCTTTTAAGGCTAAAACCTCGGGTGTCTCCCCCTGTCTACTGTCACAAGGAGTGACTCTAGCAGTCAGTTCATCAACAATGTTTCTGACGAGGGTTAGTGCAGTCAAGATGGCACTATCAATCATCTCTGGGACGGATCTCTCTAATCGTGTCGCCCTAATATCCGTCGAGTAAGCTAGCCGTCCCATTTTCAGGATCATGGCCTGAGTGATCCTAGAAGGCTGGGCTGATGACGAAATACCTGGTGCTTGTGAGGAAGATGAGGGAGGATCAGGTATACCTGATGGCTCAGAGGCCGGAGTATGCGAAGGTGTTTCTGCTGGTAATGCATCAACATCAACCTCTGGAGATGTATTTGTTGGGGCTGCCCTCCTCCTGTCAATATCCTCTTGTGGGAACTCGGCCTCTATACGTCAGATGTCGATGGAGGAAGATGGGGTAACCTCAACATCCCTCGTAATGTCATGTGGTACTCTAGCTCACTGGTATAGATCAGTTATCAGTACAGGAAATGGCAGAGACGTCTGTTTCTGTTTGGCCCTCATAGACATCTCATGTGAAACCAACAATCCTAGGTCGATCTGCCTCCTGGACATGATAGAACCAAGGCAAGCCCCCTTCGAATAACACAGAATGGACTCGTTCTGGGATGGCATGATAGTGCTGTTGATGAACCCAAACCAATACCGAGGGACGGTGTTCATATCCCTCTTCTCAATGGAGACTCCCACGTCAATCCACCTCGGGGTGGTGTCAGAGATCATCGGAGCTAACCAACCCTTCAAATCATCGAGAGATGGGGCAATGGGTAAACAATGGTAGGGAAGTACTGAGTGCAACGGTCCTCCCAATACAACATTTATGTGTTTGCTATGACACTCTACTTCCTTGCCTCTAACCATAACCAATTTCAATGGTCGGAAATCACTGGCCTTCTAACTAGTCATAGCTAAAGATATTAACGAACAAAAACATAGTAAATTAAAGGGGGTGACACAAAAGTGTCAAATATCAAAGGGGTTTTGTAACAAGTACTAAAACAACAAAATAAACAAGAAAATCAAGTATGGGGAAAGGTTCTTGGGATGTGACCGCAATACAAGTTGATATAAATTGTTGGGTACATGCTTTTGATAGGAAATTTGCAAAAGAATAGTGATTACACTAAGCTTTAAATGGAAATAAGTTCCCTCTCGGGCAACTTACCCCGTATCAAATGCGTTTCTCTCGGATACCCATTTGCAACATGAAGACCAGCCTACGCCTTACCCCATTCACTCTCTTGAGCTGAGTGTTAGGATATGGGACTAGTGCTCACCCTCTCGGGCTGAACCTTATGTCGACCCACTCCTTAGGCCATTAGTCTAGTGGTTTTGGTTTCGTGACCTCCCTCTCGGGCAAGCCGAAAACACATATGTGGATTTGTATTTTCAACTACAAATCCTTTAGATTAAACCACAACCACTAGGTGAAATCACCATTAAAATACATCTAACCTATCAGCAAGCAAGACCCAACACGAATATCAACCTATATTTGCTAAATCACACCCCAAGAATGGGGTTTTTAGCTACACATCAAGAAATAAGAAATTATACCTAATATGATAATGAAATCAACTGGGTATAAGAAATTAAACCTTGAATTAAGAAAAGGAAAATGAATATAGAAGACCTACTTCCAACTTGTGGAAGAAGAACTCCTTTCTTCAAGTCTCCACAAAAACCCTCTCCAAACTTGAGAGAAAAATATCAGCTAAAGTATGTTCTAAAGTGAAAATAATAATAATAATTGTTCCACACTCAATTATCTAAATAGTATTTATAGTTTTCACAGATTGTGCTACGGAGGATTGTTCGGCGACATTAGTCGAGATCGCCGATAAACTCGGCGATCTGCCCTTTGGTTAGCCCATCGCCTTCAGTGTCTTTCCTTTAGCATCCTCACATTCTGGATCATTGGGTGGTACAGTACTGCTTCGCGGAACTGATCGGCGACTCGCCAACTGCTCCTTTCCTTGCCTTTTGATCCACTTTCTTCAAGGTTTCACGTACTGGAATGAAGGTTATCCTAGGAAGTGGATACTTATTCTTTATAGTGACCTTGTTCAATTGGCGTTAATCAATACACATCCTAAGGGACCCATCTTTCTTCTTCACAAACAATACCGAAACACCCCATGGAGATATGCTTGGTTGAATAAATCCCTTGTCTAACAAGTCCTTGAGTTGCTCCTTCAACTCTTTCAATTCGGCCGGAGCCATTCTATAGGGAGGGATAGATATGGGTTATGTATCCGGAAAAAGATCAATGCCAAAGTCTATTTCCCGTTCGGGAGGAATGCCGGGTAAGTCATCAGGAAAGACTTCTGGAAACTCACTCACTACTGGGACTGACTCTAAAGAAGGGACCTTGGACTCAACATTCATAACCCTAACAATATGATACATGCACCCCTTGGAGATCATTTTTCTATATTTTAGACATGAAACAAATTGACCTCTAGGAATAGAACTCCTGCATTTCCACTCTAAAATTGGCTATTTTGGAAATTGAAATTTGACCACATGGGTCCTACAATCTATTGAAGCATAACATGCTTGCAACCAATCCATGCCCAAAATTACATCAAAATCAAGCATGACTAATTCTACCAAATAAATCAAAGTAACTTTATGAGACAAATAAATAGGAAAACTCCTATAGACTCTTTTTATCTCTACCGAGTCACCAACCGGGGTAGAAATCGAAAAAGGTTCTAGTAACTCTTTGGGGAGCACTTTAGATTTCATAGCCACAAAAGGAGTAACAAATAATAAAGTGTCACCGGGGTTTAATAATACATAAACATCAATGGAAAATACTTGCAACATACCCGTAACAACATTCGGTGAGCTCTCTTGGTCACCTTGGGATTGAAGAGCATAGAAGCGGTTCTTCTTGGGAGCATCAAAATTTGAGCCACTTGGAGGGACTTGCTTGCCCTCTCTCCCTTGAACCATTAGCATGGGACAATCTCTCTTCATGTGACCGCTCTTCCCACAACTAAAGCAACCGTCCGTGCCCACTAGGCACTTGCCTTCATGCTATTTACCACACTTTGCACAATTAGGCCTATCAACATAAGAGCTACCACTATTACCTCCTTGTGGCTTAGGGTTAGACACCCTATCTTTGTTGACTCTTGGAGTGCTAGAGGAGCCTTGATTAGAAAACCTCTTCTTGAACCTTGGTTTACCTTGTACCTCAAACTTACCCTTGGAATAATTCCCATCATCGGTCTTTGCCCTCTTTACTTTACTATTCACTTGCTTGAGCTTTTGTTCCTCAATTTGCTTGGCATGAACCATAAGACGTGAAATATTCATACTTGGAATAAGCATTGCCGAACGACATTCATTGACTACCAAGTCGGATATCCCTATAACAAATTTGTTCATCTTGGCCCTAGAGTCCGCCACTAAGGTTTGAGCATATTTAGACAATTGGGTGAACTTAAGGCTATACTCCTTCATACTCATACCTCCTTGGCGAAGGTTGATGAATTCTTGCATCTTTCTCTCCCTCAACTCTAGTGGAAAAAACCTATCAAGGAAGGCCGACTTGAACACTCCCCAATCAACCGGTCCTGCTCTCACGGTTCTCTCATCCTTTCATTTCTCATACCATACCTGAGCCACATCTTTTGATTGGTTGGCGGATAGTTCCGCCTTCTCTGTTGGAGACACACCCATAACATTAAGCACCTTAAACACTTCATCAATAAACCCTTGTGGGTCTTCATCCACTTTGGAGCCATAGAATTTAGGGGGATTCATTCTTGTGAAATCCCTAATCCTTGAAGCGGTTGTACTTGCATTGGGATTCTTATGAGCTCTATCATACCTAGTGACTTGAGTCGTCAAAACATGAGTCAATGTTTGGAGAGCCGACGTTATATCCACATTAGTCAAAGCCCCTTCTTCATTAGGAGCTTGAGGATCTTGGGGAGGAGCTCCCTCATTGACATTCTCCTCTTGCGTCCTCCCTGCATTTCCTCTTCTTGTATTCATTGTATAAAATCACAAGAGAAGGGTTAGGAAAAGGACTTCATATAGTTAGGACTCAAAGCAGGACTAAAGAGTAATGAAATAAGTGAAAGTTCTTAAACATCTTATAGCCTCTCATTCATAAGTGTGGCGCGCTTCACACTTATGTACCAGACTCTACTAGACGTGGTTCATGAAACATCATCCTAGAATCATTCTAAACCTTGTGCTCTAATTACCAAGTTTGTCACGACCCAAGGGTACTCCCTAGACGTAACATGGCACAATTAACCCCGAAGGGGTCGTACACTAGCCCTTAGCATAATTATAACATTAAGACATAGAATAATGCGGAAAAAATTAAAAGTTTTACAATTGAAGTTCAATTTCTTTTTCATAAGTGAAAATATGAATCTAGACTTGTCTCAATCAACATCTAGTAAATAAAGAGTATAAATAGGGTCAAAATCCCTTTACATCAATAGTAGTCTCAAAGTAGAAAATACAATAGAAACAATAGCATCTTGTCCTCGAATTTGAGGACTCACCAAGCCTAGGGAATAGTAAACCCAAGCTTCACTTGAAGAAAGTAGTACTTCTCAACGATCGGAACCTACACTCATAGAATGTAGAAAATATGGGTTAGCACAATTATTGTATTAAGTATGGAAGCCATGCACAAAATCCTTAAAACATGCATAAAAGGAATATTTAGTTGAAATCATGCCTTTATCAAGTTTAAAAACCATTATGTACATTTATGCAGAAACATAAGCCAAACCAACATATAAGCAACCCAAAGCCATACTAGTGCAATGCAAAGGTAAGATCCCATAACCCTACCAAACGCTAAGTATCGCATTTAGGCTACCAACAACATACATATCTTAATTTTACCTCGATCATAACCAACATACATAAGTAAGGAATCATTCATGTTCATAGCTTGTATAAAGTAAAGTCAACCTTAACATTCATACATAGCTTTCATACATAATTCATAAGTCATCATAACATAAGAGAACCTCATCATAACCCCTTTTAAAGCCTACTTGTGCAATGCATAAGTGAAGTCCCATACCCTCACTCATACTAAGTAGTATCTCTCAAGAAGTCATAATTAAAGTCCATGTTCTAATCATAGTTCGTATTCATATCACATAGGGAAGTTTAGCCTTAATCGACATAAACCATTTGAGCTACATGGAATCCAGTGTTCTACCCCCACACTGAAAAGAGGTGTCCTACTTACCTAAGGTAGAACTTTCATAATAGCTTTTAGGTTGATCCACTAGCTAAAGACCTGTGTGGGCACATAGTTATGGGATACATGGATTGCTTCTAGAAATCTGGACTGCTAGCGTAAAAGGTTTCCATCCCATGAGACAACATACCTTGGAAAGCCGGAGTTGCTAAACGTAAAAGCTTCCATCTCATTTTTCATATCCACTCAGTGCTAAGCATAATTCCCTTTAATGGTCATATTAAGTCTTTACTTAAGTTCATGTTCACAAGAGAATGCACTAGGCACCCAACCAACCTAATTCCATAAGAGCTCATAGATTCATTAGGTGAGAATGTCTTTTCAACCTTAGAAGCATCAACATGTGAGTAAACCTGTCACACAACATTCATAGTGTTTCATGAGAAGAGCCTTTCAATCAACAAAACAAGCTTATCATAACATACATACATACTTTATGCATAATCAAGTGTAAGGGTATAGGGAAGAAGGATCTCACATCAATACCTCAATTACACGAGTCATAGGATCATCATTATCTATGTAAATCATGAACTCATATACAATTTTCATCAACATATATAAACCCTAGTTATTGCCCTTTAAGGCTAGGAATCAAGATCAACCCTAAAGTCAAGAATTATCACATTAGATAGGGGAATTTCATGATTCAACAACATAATCAATTGTAAAGCTCTCATCATAAATCAAGCCATACATTGTTCACAATTTAGGAAGAAGGGGAAATCATGGGTCCAAGGGAGATTTTCATCAAAATACAACAATTAACCATTAATCTAACCATAAATAATCTTAATCAATCATAATAAACCATAATTAAACAATATAAATCTTATTGGAAAAAGACCCATGACTAGATGAAACCCTAGGTTTTTGAAGTCTTAAAAACATACTTTGAATGGGCTTCTTGGGGGAGAGATACCCAAGAATGAAGAGCATCCATACCTTAGGTCGAATTCCACAAGAAATTGATGAGGAAAGACTTGTTCTTGAACCCCTAGATTGACCTTGACCTTGTTCTTCAATGGAGGTGTTCTTCTTAGAGAGAGAAATATTTTTGGGAGGGAAGTTGATTTTTGTTTTGAGTTTGTGAGTTATGATAGGTTAAAGGGTTGTTTAATAGCCTTCCCCACAACAGTTCCAGGGTAGTAGATTTGATCGTCAGGAACAGTCAGGCCTAGGTGAGGGTTCATGAGAATCAGGCTCGCAGCAGCAGAAGGGTTTAGGCCAGGCTAGGACATCCCCGCCGCGTTGCGTTACTTGCGGTAGGATGCATTTTGGGAAATAAACTAATCATCTTCTTTCATGTCTTTCTCCATTTGCCAACTTTTGAAAATAATATGTAGTAGTAAAGTGCCTTAAAAATTTATCCTTTGGAAAACATATGTCGGTAATTCTAATTGGTCCATTTTCTACTAATAAGTCTCTTAACTTTGTATCAAGGCGGCAATGTAATCCAACTCCGAGCACCAATCAACACCTCAAATACTTCTTGAAACGTGCCAATATATAAACTAAGGTGCAAATGTGAGTTTGTGAAGATTTAAAGTGAGGGAAAGTGAAGAGTTTGAAAAAATATAACCTTAAAAACCGTCTAGTGTTCACCCGTTCGACGACGTTAGTTTTACTCATCGGTTCTCTCAGTGAAGCGCCGAATAGACACTCACCTCGCTGAATTTTATAGGACTTCCAGTTGATTTGGATATCAAAATGGCAGACTATGTTGGGGTAGCGAACTAGGTAGGCGACTCGCCAATAATTTCCTGGTTTTCACCGAAAGTTACAGACTCCAAGTTAAATTTGTCTTGAGTCCAATGGCGGTCTGGTCAGGGTCGCCGACCCTTTCGGCGATGCACCGACTCCTTTTTCTCGCCAATTTACCTCTTTCCGAACACTTTCCACGTTAACCTGCATAACCAAAACTCCATTATTCCAAACAAAGAAAGGAAAACAAATAAGAAAACTTGGGTGCCTCCCAAGATTCGCCTTAGTTAACGTCGCGACACGATGCAAGTCCACCTTCAAACCTCATTCTTGGGGTTAGCCATAGTATCACTAGGCAAACCCCCCTGCTGTCTCGGGTTGAGATGAGACGATATATGACCCATTTGGGTCTCCAACTGCTTGATCGACACCGAATGAGAAGTGACGGTCTGGCTAAGGGTAGACATATCTTCTTTCATTTCTTTTAAAATCTTGTCTGACCCTTCAACTTTGTTGAGGATATGAGAGAGCATATCCTCAGACCTACCAACTTCTGAATCCTTTGGCTTTTGATGCTCGTGGGGAGGTACATACCTATCCTTCTCCTTATCCTTCCAATTAGCATTACAGTCTCTCCATTCACTATCTCAATCTTTCCAACCTTCATCCCTAGCCCAACCTCAGGTAGTTTGAACGATAACCACCACCTTGGTTGGCTAGGAAATTTACCTCTTCATTATACAAGGCTTAAAACTTGGACTCATCCAGATTAGCACACCCGACACCCACGACATTGACACTTCGAGCACCAGCTCCCATGACATTGTTAGACATAATATCAAGTTTTTTCATGATCTTGGCCATGTTTTGGTCCCTTTATTGGTCCTTCTCCATTTGTTCCTTAGTTAACTAGAACATGAGAAGGGAGACCTGGTCTTCATGGGTATATCACTCCCAGTTTATGGTAGTCATGTCATCCAAGAGCTGAGCCACTATCACATAAGGTTGCTGCATCAAACCTCATGGAGAAAGTTAATCAGCAACACCCTTATTTACCAAATCAAGACTTCGGTAAAAATACTGCAGCAACACGTTATCAGGCAAGCCATGGGTTGGGCATTGAAGCACCAACTTTTTGAATCGCAGCCAAGTTTCATGATTTGTCTTGCCTTCTAGACGCTTAAAGCTCTGAATGCTGTCACGAAGAGTCATCATTTTTGAGGAAGGGAAAAATTGCAGTTGAAATGCGGTGACCAACTCCTCCCACGAAGTGATTGATTCACGTGGTAATTCAGCCAGCCACTTTCACACCTCTCCCATCAAAGAGAGTGGGAACAACCTCAACCAGACCGATTCTTGGGAGATATTTTTGAAGGAGAATGGTTCGCATACATCCATGAATTTTCTGATGTGCTCATGGGGATCCTCATGAGCCAAACCACTAAAAAGCCGTTTTAGTTGCAAGAGTTACAACATAGTACTCGTGATGTGGAACACCGCATTCCCTTCTGTCGGAGGCAAGTGAATGGCACCAATACCGCCCATGAGATAGGGGTCATTTTCATGAGGCTGGTGGACATTGTTGAGATTTCTGATGCCGTCTTGATAACTTACTTGGCTGCCATTGCTGCCGTTTACGCTCATACTTCCTGTTTTCAACACAAACAAGCAAAACAAAGCTACAAATTAAGTAAGTAGAACTATAACTAACAAGAACAAAATTTAACTCAACTAAAAATTCTCAATTAACACCACTCCCTGGCAGTAGCGCCATTTTGATTTGACGTATCCGGGTGCTTCATTCAATATTAAGCGTCCACGGTCGTTCAATAGTAATAAAACCTAACTAGCGAGTTGGGGTCGAGTCCCAAGGGAGTGGTTTGTGATTAAGAATCAATAGAAAAGCAAGAACTTCGTTCGAGTCATTTATAGCTAAAGACTTTTACGAAAATAAGCATATCAAATTAAAGAGTGACACAAGTGTCAAGTATCAAAAGGGGTTTTTGTAAGCAATTATCAAATAAAATGACAACTACAAACGAAGATACTAATATGG